CATTTAAAAATTTTAAATATTATTTGATAATAAAACAAACACTAAACATAATAAAATTTTACAATAATAATACAATATTATTATGATTTAATACGTAGTAATATAAAAATTTGTACATGTATTTAGTGTATGATATAAATATTTTAGTTAAACTCAGCTGCCGATGCTTGGTGGTAAGACTTCAGGTTAACATACAAAACTATAATTTTGTTTGAATGAGTATTTATTTTATTTGCATTTTGTTTTTATTTGTAATTGTCTCTTGAGTGGAGTTCGCTTAGAGGCCCTTAATTTTAATTTTTACTAAACAGTAAGTTTAACATTTAACAAGTCATTTCCTGAGCCCCATACAAGAGAGATGTTATCTTTGCTTTTCCGTATTTGTGCTGTAGATATATACTAAAGCTTCAATTTATTTGTTAACAGTTTGTATTATATATGTAATTGATTAACTTGGAATATATTAATATATTAATATAATGCTTACAACATTTATTCGTAATATGCAATTGGGTCTCACAGCATTTTTCAACATTTCGTTATTCGGGCAACTCATCAATTTTCAATTCGCAACCTTGATTGCAAAAAATATTTCTCCAACAGAGGCAGCAGAAGCAGAGGGGAGACCCGCCTTGGCCAAATAGGAGCGGGACTCGTACAGTCGGCCGTTATCTTCTATAATTATATAATGCATATTGTGTGTATTGTGAGCTTTTTAGATTGCATGACGCCAAACTGTGGAAAACATTTTAAGCGAACGACTTGCCAACTGGGCTGAAGAAGAAGCAGCAGAAGCAGAAGCACAGCTCAGACCAACCCTATTTGGCTACCATTGGATCAGCGTTGACATAGTTTCTATGGCCCTCCCTCCGTGACCCATCCCGCTACTCCACCCACTACACTGGGCACTCGATAAGCTTCGCCTGACTCCCCTTGCATGTTCAGTGTGCATTCGGCAGGACGACAACAACAACAGAAGCAACAACAACAACAAACACTATTATTACCGACTGTTGTCAACGCATATCCATTTTGGGCTGCATCTAGCGCCCGGCTGTTGGCTTGTTTGGGCCAGCTAAATAGCAACAAACGTCTCCTGCGACAGCTGAAGCCCGTAAAGTGGCCGAGTGGCTCCCAACGAGCCCCCTCCCCCGGCTCCCAGCCCGCACCCCCAGCTACGCCACCCGCCATTCATTTTTATGTAAACCAATTGTTTGCTTTGCTGGTGTGTCTCCGTCCAGTGCCAGTCCACGTCTCAGCGTCTGTTTCGTCCGTTGCCTGTCGGCGCTCTGTGCCCAGTGCCATGTGGGGGTCAGTTGGCTTCCTGGCCCGTCCGGCGGGGCGTGCTCCGGTTTCTCTGCGACGGCTCTTATCGGCATTTTGCGGTTTTCTCTTTGTTGATTTAGTGGAGCAGCCTGTTGAACTTTTCGCCTCGCTGCCGCACAAAGGACACACCCAATCCCAGTGCTCGTCCGCCCGCCCCTTCCACTCAGCCGTGGCCAGAGTAGAGTATTGTTTGCATTCGTGGCTTGTTATAAGTGCTCCCGCTCTGGCTCCCATGAGCGGGGCGGTGGACGGGGTCTGTTTGCATTATTAAATTGCCGGATAATCAAATATTTTGGATTTCACGTTCCTTTCGCGTGCATATTTGAGTGGGTAATGGGTTAATATTTTATCAGTTTTCAGGAATGGTCATGCTTATTGATATCCGAGGTGAAACTATCCTTATTGTTAGCTTAAATATACAATAATATCAATTGGCAAAGAAGTTCTAGCTATACTAATTCGAATAATTCTTTTGTTCACTTACTCTTCACATACCTCACATTCACAATGTATAACTTTTTTATTTTTTATCGAAATTATTTTTAATTTTTTCCCTTTAATTTATATACAAATTCTGCAAAGAAATCAGTGATTCGAAATTACCTGCAAAGGGCAAATAATACTGGTTTTACAAATATTGATTTAGCTTGTACACTTGTTTGATGCAAGCATAGGGGAAATTTAGCTCAGTTCAGCACCTTTTCAACTTGACACATAGATGACGCTTTAACTGACATCAAATTGTTTAGCCATTAAGACACATCAACACATAGAAGTCGCTCTATTAATATTCGAATAGTTTGTAGTTCTTTAAATTTGTATATTGTTTTGTTAGCATAACAAATTATTAGCTGAAGTGCAAAAATAATGAAAATCGTTTGAGTAAATTTGAGAAAACTATTTACAACAAAATTTAAAAGCTAATATGTTCCAGCCAAAGCGGCTTAAGCTAATACAGCAACCTGAATGAAAAATACTGGTTTTTATGTGTATTGGCTAGCCAAAATAACGTTTTTATTTCAAATTATGGATTTTATTCATAAACCTTTATATTATAATTATAGCACAAGATTTTTCATCTCTGATCTGCACGTCCATGATACTGCTGTCCATGTCTAGAATTGAAGAGCATCCTCTTGCAGCAGCTCTGCTGGTGGCGCCTCACGTACATATCGGTTAATCGGCCTGAAAGTGGGTCTCGGCAGATATGGAGGTCGCTCATAGTCAGCTGCTCGTGCAATCCGAACAGGCCTAAAGGTCGGTCTGGGCAGGTACGGAGGTCGCTCATAGCCAGCCGCTCGTGCAATTCGGTGAACAGGCCTAAAGGTGGGTCTGGGCCGATATGGTGGCCTCTCGTAGCCAGCCATTGCCATGGCGCACATCGAGACGAGCAGCAAAATAATTGTGAACTTCATGATGGTTCGATTGACAATGTTGGATTGATGCTGTTCGATTGAGTTAAGGCTGCTTTTATAGCGACGTGTTGCAGGTGCTGCAGTGTGCTGCTGCGACGGTACTCTTTTTTTTGTATAGCATGGGGACTTACATAGGGGGAAATCTGTATATGTATGTGACCTGATAAAGTAATTGCTCACTTGGTCCGTTTACCAAGACAAGTCGAGGTGTGTTATCAGTGCTTGGCTGACTTGACTCGAGCTTGAGGGGAATTTTTACTAACGTGCTTTTGGCATAGGTTTCAAAATAAATGTGTAAAATAAAATTTAACATACTTCATATGATTTAAAAGTTATTAATTGCAAATTGCAAAATATGTTTTTAGTAATCTATTATTTTTTAATTATTATTTTTGTTTCAGTAAATTAAAATTTTTATATATTATTTTAAATGGTTTTTATTTAATTTGTTTTATAAAAATATAATTCAAAACAAAACATACTAAATGGATATAAAATAGTATTATAATGGAATGTGTATAGAATGCTAAGCCATGCAAGAAAGAACGCCAAGAAAACAACAGCTTCAATTGTGTTTTTTTATCCAACATACATTGGCATTTATTTAGTTTTTTTGTTGTTGATTTGCTTGAATTTTATGACACTGAAACAGACAAATTTGTATTCGCTTGCTGAATGTATGTAAGTGTGTGGGTGTGTAGTAAGTTTTATATGTGTGTGTGTGTTAAGTACTTTGGTTATTATTGTTGTCAAAGGGGATTTTAAATGTCTTTAGTGCTATGGAGATATAAGCTGCGTGTGTGTGTGGTGTAGTATGTAAAGGTGTATCTGTGTGTGTGTGTGTATGTGTTAGTGTTGTGTTTGCTTGTCAATTCAATACATTCAATATTAATATATAGTTAATACATATATATGTTTTTCATAATTTGTAATTAGTAATACACATATTTGAAGTATTCGTTTAGGTTTTACGAGTTTGAATCTTTGGATATTTTTGCATCGCTGCCCATACTATAATATATGTGTATATATATATACGAGTAATATTTGATCGGCTAAGAGGGAGCGAGTGATTAGTAATGCGTTTAAACTGCTTTGCCTTAATCTATAAATGTTTCATATTTGAAATCTTTTTTAATTTTCATTCGAATTTTTGCTTAGTTTTGTTTTCGTTCTCAATTTATCAATTTCTCAATTTGATGTGCGTTGAAGTTGAATGTTTTGCATTGTGTATATGTGTTTTTTTTTTCGCTTAAATGCAAATGGAATTTATTTTTGATTTATGCGTTTGTTAAGTAATGTTAAGTAGAAAATTAGTTTAATTTATGTGTGTGTTTTTTATGCATGTTTAATGCTAAATTATGACAAATTGGGCTTATAGAATATTTATTATTTGCTCTCCTTGTCAAGCAACATAAAAAGCAAGCTCTGCTGCTTTATGGCAGACGGGTTCCAATATATGCATGATATATATATGTATGTATATGATATATATGTATGTATATGAAAAATGGATGATTTTATTTTGAATAATTGCTTAGCTTAGTTTTTTTTTTTTTTCTTTAGCGAATGTCGAAAGATTTAATTTTTGATTTTGATTTGCCGAAAAGTTGCTTTTGTTTTATTAAATTTGGGAATTCAAAACTTTTCGTATTTTTTTTTGATGCTATTTGAATTACTTGAAAATTTGTGAGAGTTTTTATTTGTTAATTTTTTGTTTTTGTATATCGTATTAATTGTAATATTAATTAAATGCCATTTGTCTAAACGCTATTCAATATTTGTAGTTCGTTTACCATCAAAATTTGTAGTACATTCATATATTCATATAAGTTTCCCATAATATATATATATGTATGTTTTTAAGCAATATTATCGTTCACAACACTACATTCATATATATATAAAATCGATATAGCTAAGGATAGTAGGGCGTATTATAGAGTGTATCAATAATAATCGAAATGAGATGCAAACGAAATAATAGCTAATCAAAGTAGACGATCTAGATAAGCGGATATACATATAGATCAAATGTGAGCCACCTCAAATGCTTTGCTATTTCTAAGTCTTGAGCAAATGTTGTTTTCGTTCGTACGGTTTTTAAACTCTGGTAAAATTCATAGATCGTTTGTTAAGCATTTCATTTCATTCATACAAATTTGCATAGTTCAGTCAGTCTTTGAGTGTTTAAAGTGGCTGCACAACTTACCAAAAAAATAAAAAAGCTGAAAAAATTAAAAATAAAATAAATAAAAAATTAATTAAACGTTTTTAAAATAAATTTCCATTTTTATATTTGGCAAACAAATTTGCTGCGAAACTTAAAAGTAATAATAAAATCTTAAATCAATATTTGACAGAATTTAGTTTGAGTTCGTCTTAAAGCTTGCGGTGCAGAAACCAACTGTAAATAAATAATATTTAAATAGGCAAAATGTGCGCTTGGGTCTGTTGTATAATACAATTTAGAGCTGCTGACTAAATGGTTTAATATCTGCATAAATAAATGCAATTTGTGCTTGAACAAATTTTACATTAATTATCTGTTTGTGGAAGCGCTTTGAAACGAAAAATATAAATTAAAATACAAAAATGCTAAATATATTGATCGATATCGATACAAATAATTATAAAATCGATTACCAATGCTAAAAATTATGATCACAAATAATCTGTTTAAGCGGGCCAACGAACTGTCTGTCCATGCTCGCAACTATAGGATTTGCAGACCATTCAAAATTAAACAATATCTATCATTATGACTTTGACTTAGAGGCTACATATAGATGGCAAAGAAATCAAATTGAAAAAAAAATACAAACAAACTTATGAGCTACACACACAGACAAGAGCACATACATATACATATATATGAGTGTATATATATATACATATATATAGTGCTTGTGTATTGGGCCGATGTATGCGCCCTTTTTTTTTTGATATTTTGGTAGTTCTGCTTATAGTTAAAAAATACAATATTAAAAGTTAATTTCAATTATGCAAATTGAATTGAATATTTTTGTTTCGTTTTCCTTTTTCTTATTTTTCTTTTCCTTTTTTTTATGTTAATGCAAAATTGTTTTGCATATTTATGTTTTCTCTTTTTCCTTTCGTTTATAAATATTTGAAATAGTTAATATATTTATATATGTGTATGTGTGTGTGTGTTTATGTGTATATATTGTATGTATGTGTGCGCCTTATGCGCTTTGCTTACTTCCTCTGTGATGCTTCTCGTTTTATTCAAATAAGACTTGAAACACACACATGTGTGTGTGTGTGGTGTGTGTGGATGTGTGTGTGTGGATGTGTGTCTGTGTGTTTGTGTCATTCAACTTCCACGCACTTCATTGACTTGAAACACTAAGCTAAACTGCCACGCCCACTGGGAGTAGCTTACAAATTACACTGCCATAGTATCGTAGGCTGTGAATCCTGCGCCATTTGCTTGTTGGAGTTGGAGTTGTTTTGGGCCGGCTTCGTTTCTGCGGGTAGCGAGGGGAATCATTTTAGACAGGAGAACAATTTAATTAGAAATATATATATGTATATATAGAATATATGTTTGTGGTACATATTTAATTATTATTTTGCTTAGGCTTGCAACCAAAAAGCATTGCGCCTTGAGTCTCGTGCCGAGAGCTTGTGGCAGCTGGCACAAGTATATAGAGTATTTAGATATGTGTTAAGTATGGTTAAAGCCTGTTGATTAATATACATAATACATATATATATATAGTAGTTATGTAATTGAAATTCGTTTGTCAAAATGATAAATGCTTTTGTGTGTTTTATTTCAATACACTCGGAAACACTCAACTGTGATTTGCTTTCAATTAACAAAATTCAACTAAAGTAAAACAATTCATGTAATAATACAAAAAGACAATAAATAACAGATATAGCTAAACAGGGGGGCTTTGGATTAGGTTTAGGCATGCGTACTTCACATTTAGTGTTAATTGCGACCAGAGAACATGCAAAAGCGAATGACTTAACTGCGAGTTTTAGTTTGAAACTTACAACTGCCTGCGACTACGTAGTCAGTGAGTAAAGTTTTTAGTTTTTATTTTGTATTTATTAAATGAAAAAAAGGTACAGAAATTATCAGTGTTAGTAGTTGCATCAAGTTAAAATAAGTTTCTGTTTGTTACCTTAAACGAAAAAATTGCACAGAAATTTAAGAAATAAAACTGCCCTTTGGAGGTAATGAAAATTCTGATGGGAATATGTGAATTCTGATTGGAAACATTGATATCTGATTGGTTGTATGTGAGAAAGCCATTTTTACTGTGGAGAACAGCTTAATTGCACTAATATTTGGGTTTAAAATTAAAGGCTTTCTTTTTTTTTAACTGATTTAAGAAATTTTGTTAAAATTTCCATGAGTAGTTCCTTAAGTATCAATGATATACCTCAAGCTAAGATTAAATGCATGAGAGTTTTATTAAATTTTATTTCGCTCCTTCCTTATTTATATATATGTATATACTCTTTTCTATCAGTTGCAAAGAGCGAAATATATTCTGAGAGAATATACAATAGAGAACATACATCTGAAAAAATCTCAGGCTGATTTAAATTAGTTCATGAAGTACATTGAAATAGTTTCCTCTTGTATGTTATGTATTCCCTTTATTGTTTAGTATTTGATGATCTGTTCTATTATATTATATATATTATRACTATTCAAATTTTCTGTGCAATTTTAGCTCAGCATTGGTTAAACCAATTTAATAGCTATGTGTTTTTCGTTATAGTTTCTATATACAATACTCTTTTCTTACCTCTCGATTAATTTACGCATTTCTTCGGTGGTGCGTTGATCTTTCGGTTGTGGAGATCTTTTTACAGCTGTTTATTTTCGCATTTTATATATTATATTTTATTTTTTTAAATAAGTAATTATCATTTAAGAACCAAGAAATTGAGCACAACCGTTAAGTAGTTGTTTATGGTAAATTGGTTTTAAATATCATAAAATCAAAAAAGAAAATAGAAAGAAAACGCAAAATGAAATTTAAAATTAAACTTTTCTTATACGTAATGTGAGAAGATCGTGCAAAAATGATTGAAAATTCCTTTAAGGTTCAGGTAAATATATTGCTCTAGAGTTTTTCTGCTTATATAGCTAACTTATTGTTCGTAAAAACCATTAAAGAAAAAATAAAACTAGATCTCTAGTCGGACACATGCGAAATTCTATACACATGATATGAAATGAGAGATTTCATGAAAAATAATTATTATTAAAATTATATTTAAATCCGATATTAGATACAAAATATTAACATAAAACATTGACATTGTTGGTGCTGGAAAGGAAACCCTTAAAAAATGTGGTCGGTGCAGCTTATGAAATGAAATGGAAGTTATTTAATTGTGCATTAACAAAGTCATATTAAAATTTAACAACCAAAACCAAAATTAATATTTTTTAACACACAAATAAAATATAAAAAATATTAAAATTTATAATTTTTTGTTTTGAAATATTAGCAAAACACAGCATGAATATTTATTGCGAACTTTCTATGGAATAATTCATGAATGACAATGAAGGAGGTATGAAGAATGAGCACATTCCTGATATGAGATCGAGAGGGAGCCTGACGACGAACGACAAGGACGAATGAGGACGAATGAGGTGAGTTGTGATTGAAGTGAGGATTCAATTGAAAATCCAGTCTAAACACTAAAGTTAAGTTCGATTTGCGATTGGGGTTCACATCACTCACCATCATTGGCGTCTTCTGATCGATATTAATATTCGAATGTTAAATGAATTTTGAAAGAAGGGAAATTGAGAACATTTCGAATTTGTTGCGTTAAAAATGAATACACTTTCAATAGAGCTTAGTGGAAATATATTGGAATATAGATGGAATATTTTAAGCTGCGGTTACGATTCGATTTGGGGATCAATTGAATTGGGCTGGGATGGGAGACTCTGACTTACCGCCATAGTTGCCGCGTGGTCCATGATCGCGATCGCACTCGGCCTCTGAGATCTCATTGCTCTCCTTGGAGTCGTTGAACGAGGAGTTGCTCATGTCGTGATTACGTGGTGGTGGTGGAGGTGGCTCAGGTGAACCATTGCCTGGATTACGTGCAGAGCCTAACACATATTAAGAATATATATGAAGGCTATAACTAAATACACTATGTTGTATTTACCAATGCTGCGACGTCCCATGGAGCCGCGAGATCCATAGTGATCGTAGGGCTGTCCATAGGGGCCGCCATACTGAGAGCCATACTGATCCTCCTCGGGAGCGCAATTGGCGGGATCATCATATTCGGGTCCGGGGCCAGAGTACAAGCTACCGCCTTGAGAATTAACGCGAGTGTAACGACGCTGTGAGATCGCAAGGAGAGAGAGAGAGAGAGAGAGAGAGAATTGAAATGGGAGACAGAAGAGGAGATATAGACAGAGAGAGGGAATTCAAGACTCTGCTTAAAATACTTATACGAAAATCTTACATATTGATCTTCCTCGGCACAGTTGGCGGGATCATCATATTCGGGTGCGGGAGTATAGATCGAGGACTGTCCACCTTGGCTGTTCTTGCGCTGATAGCGATTGGCACGTGGCATGGACTGAGAGCCGGAGCGGGAGTGTACGTGTCCAGGGTGGCCAGGGGGCAGCATGGTGCCGGCGTGTCCGGGTACGGGTGTGTGTCCATTCTGATGGGGGAAGGTCTGGAAGTTCATGGCCTTGGTGGGATCCATTTCCTCACGGAAGCCGAGCAGATGGAACGTAGCATAGGGGCAGATTTCATCTTCCATGCCTTTGGCGAGAGGAGAGCTCGATTAGCAACGTTTACTCAAACACTTTGTGGTGCTTTGTGGGTGTCTTGGTTTGTTTGTTTTAGTGTTTTAGTACGAGGCAGAGAGAGCCTGAGAGTGGCCTAGCCCGAATTGCTTTACTTACGATGCAGTAGCTGAGACAGAGTCAGTGCGATGCGACCGGGGTTAGACTAATCGGAATGTTAGTGGACATAAACATAAATTAAATTCTAATTAAGAAGTTAAACTGGCCTGGGGTTAGATGTTAGTCGTAATCGGAATTGCATACAGAAACCAGAAAGGGTTAACAAACTGAAAAGGGGAGGGGTGGGGCGAGGCCTCCTACCTGGATGTCTATAGTGGCACTCGGGAGTGCCGTGGGCGTGGCCGTAGTGATTGCCAATGCCGTGCATGGGCACTGGCGGGGCTTTCAGCTCCTCGTATAGGTTCGGGTTACGGCGCGGATCCCAAGTCGAGTGGTTCGAGCGCAAGCCTGAGCCGCGGCCTGAACCGATTCGTTTACGTTCGTATGTGTGTGTGTGTGTGAGAGTGTGTGTGTTGAGTATGTGTACGTATTGGTGTTTTCATATTTTATTCAATTTCCAATATTCATACAACATCAACGATGAGTGAACAGAAAAGTCAAAGAATCGATTCAACGGCAACCGAAAAGGAGAGGATTCAGAATAATGTGGGGGAAAAAAGAGTTAAAATTATATGTGAAATAAGATAATAAAAATAAAGATCAAACAAAATCTAAATTCAGCACAACATTTAATAATACGAATCTTCGTTTCAGATCGGATGGGTTCGAAAATCATAAGAAGCGACTTTAAGAAGCGACATTTGAGAATTTCGTACTGAGAAAGCGTTGCAATGTGTACGTGAGTGTGTGTAATGGGCGTGGCAAACGACCTTTGGGTCTTGATTGTTTCTTTGTGAATGCAAAAGCAACGCAAAATATGAAATTGTTTTTTTTTTTTCTCTTTTTTTTCACTTTCATTTTGTGAGCAAAGTAAATGGAAGACAAAAATAAGCCTCAGCCAATGCGCAGTGAGTGCCCAGGCGAGTCGGTGCTCTGGTGCTTCGCTGGCATAGTCCTGGCATTAATAAATGTTGCATTGGAAATTTAGATGCTTACTTATGACTGTACCTCGCTTAATCCGGTCGCAGGTGTTGTAGTTGGAGCCGGGCACCGGGGGCAGCTTGCGATTGGGCGGGGCAATGTAGCCAAGTTCGTCCCTCAGGTCCGGGCGGCGCTTGTCCAGGGTGGCGCCGGGTCCCATTGTCTGATTGTAAACTACATCGTCTAGAATTAATATATGATATCGCGAACTCAATAGTGAAACACTGAAGATGCTTTTCCTTTTGAATGCTGCTCAAAGATCAACTCGCATACTTTACTTCTGTTTTTTGTTCATTTACTTAAATCTCGTATCAATCAGCTTTCTTCCGTCACTCACAATATTTGGCTTTGAAAATAAATTTGGATTTTTTTGTTTTCTTTTTTTTTTTGGTGCGGCATCTCAACACGCTAAAGTGCTAATTAGTAGCTCAAAGTTTACAATTGCAAAAACAGAATTACGTGAGGTGTTTCATTATAATTATTATTAATTTTAGTTTTTTAAATTTCAAAATATACCAACTTGTTAGCGATATAAAAATTCATGATATAATGACATGAAATGAGAGATGATTTCAATTTCGAGTTCGAATCGACTTTACGTTACTTTACTTTAGCATTATTCTATTCATTTGCGATTTCAAAAAGCATCTTAGTTTTGGTTTCATTTGAAAACAGAAACAGAAAAGTGTGGAAAATAATGTTGATAGAAAGTTGAGATGGGAAATTGTGTGTCTCTGTTGTGTTCGAAGGATATTCAAAGTTGCTTAGGGCCTGAGCCGAACGTATTTACAACACTGGAGATTACTATAGGATAAATATTTATTGTGTATATTGTGTGATAGGTTATTATTTACTTGGATAACAACTCAAAAGTAGAAGATTTCTCGAATCAATCAAATCTAAAAGACATCGCAAAAAATGTTTGTTTTTTTTTTATTTATACAAATGTAATTAGTTTGTTTGTTTGTTTTAAATTAATTTTCCAATTTGATTTTTAGATGGAGATGGAAAGTTTAATGATAGTTCTGATATGCATATTATAGATATATGAATGATATATATGATATATGAGTATCACATGATATGAATATTATAGATAGTGTATGAATTTACTAAATATATATATATATACACTGAACACATATTTATTATTATATATTTTTAATTGATATATGCCTTTTTAATGGTATTTTGTTGGTATATTTTTGTGAATTTTTTTTTTTTTTTTAAGTTTTTATGGTGAGTGTTTCTTTGAGTTCGTGTTTCTTGTAGTTTGAATAACTTGAGTAAATTAGATATCATGCTATGAATATTTGATACGATTATTAGACATTGAGCATTCCAGTAAATTATAGAGTTTTTACCAGTATTTTTGCTGAGTGACGGTCTAAGATTTATGCGTTCTCATTGCTGATATTGAGCGCGGTAATTAATAATAAATTAAAAATATAATTAAAATGAAAGGCGCAGCAATATACAACAGTTTGCGAACAACACTAAGTATATATATAAAACAGAAATAAAATTTGTCGAAAATAATATATGTATGTATATAGATGATATTTATGATAAGAAAAATAAGTCTTGCGCTCCTCTGCCTTAGCGGGCGGGCTGAGGGCAAACCTACAATAGACATCCTTTTGGCCGCCGCGCAGATCGTCCGCTCGCCGGCGCGAGAGCGCCACGCAGACCACGCAGATGCCCACGGCAACCACGACGACGGTGGCTATCAGGGGCACCATGAAGTTCAGATCCAGCCACTCGGGCATCCAGGCGGGCAGCGGAATGCGGGCATGGACATTGCCATGGCCCGTGCCATCATCGAGGGGCGCGATGGTGCCTTGATTTCATTCGGATTTGATAGATAGATAGATCGATACGATAGACGAGCATGCAAATCGTTTATCAGATACAACAACAGACAGCAGGCAGTTGCATAGCCAAGATATTTGTTGGTTTTGTTGTATATATAGATATAGACATTGGTGTGTATATATTTACACATATCGAGTATGGAAAATGTATAGTGTTTGGGGTTCATGTAGAGACAGCGAGAGTTAGAGAGAGAGAGCGAGATAGTGGAACCGAAAAAAAAAAGAAAAGAAATTTCGTAATTAGTTTGATATACTTATAGATACCTTTGTGGTGATTGCCTTTGCTACGCAGTATACAAATAACAATTATCGCTATGATTATGACGAGCAGAGCCGCCACGACCGGCACTACTAAATTTAGGTTCGATAGAATAATGCGGATTGTATCCTCGGCGGTTAATTCGGGTAAATCACGCGAGGGTGCGATTGTGCCTGCAACAACAACAACAACAACCAAAGTGTTTCACATGTAGACCAAGTTCGGAGGGGTGGGTGTGGGAGAGAGAGAGACATTTATATATATGTAKAGATAGATGTGTGTATGTATTGGTGTAGGCATGTATATAAAGAGAGAAAAGATGCGGATTGAGAGGAAGAGAGGCACCTGAAAGGCTCAACAGATCAGGCTAATTGAATAAAAAGAGAGAGAGAGAGAGAATTATCCTTCCTTCTCTATCTCTTTCTATGTCTGTCTCCGCCTTTTGCCATCCCTCTCACATCACATTGACTTTTGTACCCAGACACTAGTCGAGCACTTGACACACATATACAAATACATTGACAAATACAAATACAAATTAGTAACTTTGMTTTGAGTCGAGTTCGAAAGAGAAGTGTTCTTTGAGAAGAGAATGTAAATGACTTAAAAATGTATTTAATACTATTAAATTTTGTATTTTACAATGCGCCGAAATGCGAAAACTATTTGTAACTATTTTAGTAAAAATTTTAATTGTAATTTGTAAGAAAAAATAACAGTATTATTTTTTAGTACGTTTAAATGCAATTTGTTTTTTTTTTTTAAGTATTTTTTTTGTTATCTGTAAACTCTTAAGACTAATGAGTAAATTGTTGTTAATGCTATGAATATTCGAAACGCTAACGATTTCAATTTAAAGCATTCCAAGTGTAACAGCTTTCGAGAATATAATAGGAGAGTAACGATTAACGATTAACGATTAACGAGTAACGATAACGATATTCGCGAGAAGAGATAACTTTGAAATAATAGTTGCAAAAACACGAACTAACTTAGGCGGAACAACTCAACTGGAACTTGATGACACTAAATGAACGAAATTGTGAAACGAAAAATGAAAACGACTTTTGGTGTAATGAATGCACAGATGCATATAATGTCTGCTTCTTCTTCTTCATCTCCATTCATCACTTGATCTCAGCTCTCATGTGAACTTACTGAAAATGTTGCATTGATGGATCTTTGGTTGTTGTGCTTTCGGAAATGTGTGCGCTTTGGCTCTGCTCGGCTCTCAACTTGAGTTTTATAAAAAGTTTTTATTTCGTTTTTGGTTTTGTTTTTGATTAGGTGAAAAGAGCATTTTACTATTGTTAAAATCAAACGAAATACAACTAAATTTTACATTGGAAATCAAATGAAAATCAAATCAAAATAAGCTCAAAATGCATGAAAACAAGTTGAATAAATGTGTGTTCAGTTCAGTGGACAACTTTTTGTACGATTGGAATCTGATTGGAATTCGAGTTGATGGATCCATGAATATTCGATATTCCATATACATATATGTATATATTATGTAGCTTGCTTTTAGCTGCAGAAAGAATTGATTATTTAGGACTTTTGGGCTAGAAGCAATTTACAGATTCGGAATTTGATTCAAGCGTCTTCTACGAGCAGCGGAGGGCGGAGGGAGCGACTGGCAGTGGGTGGGTTTACAACATCGATCGGTAGCTATCAGTGGCTGTGGCTGTGGCAGTGCAGCAACAATGCACCTTGACGCCAATATCTCCACAGACTGGACACATAGATGGTATATATGTATGTATGCATAAATCCAAATGATAATATCGAGTGACGTGAACTGAAGAGTCAAAAGGTAACTCAAATAATACTAATAAGAGCTGTGGCCGTCTAGAGAGCTACGTTAGATTGGAAAATATGATACGAGAACTGAGGAAATCATAACGGAACGTGACGTGGTGAACGTGGTGATAATTGTTTAAAGCTATTTATAGAACATTACTGTTAGGATCGTAGCAACTTTGCATTTGCTATTCGTTGGGAGTTTTGTACATATATTGAGAGTATACGAGTAATTGGTGTATAAGAACGTAAAAAACAAATTGCATTTACGCAATAAAAACATCGTTTTTTGGTTTTGTCTTTGTACAACGATTTCCGATGCCGCTGCGATCAAAGTTTTTAGCATTTCATCACAATTGCAATACATACAAAATAAAGACTTCTAGATTTGGTACAACAAGCTTTTTGACAACTTATAAAATTTGCTAATAAGTAAATGAAGAAATTCAATTACGGTGCATTTGGTAAAAAAAATGAAAATCAAAATCGAAATTTGCTC